TGAGCTAGAAAGCTGGTTTTTTGACAGAATCGCACAATATTTTTAAAAATTTTAGAATCTGTCTAAAAATCAAGAAATCTAAAATTTCGATGTTCAAAAAACCAATTTTCAGTGAACCAACAAACATTGCCGATCATGTAGACGTCTATTTTGCGAAGAACGACGCGTGGGGCGTCGTTTCTCGAAATCTGCTGACTACAGTATCCCCGTATTTCACACATTTGCTGGACGACAATCCACACAATCGTCTTCAGCTGGACACGAAATGGGCCGATTTTCGTCTGTTGTTGGACGTTTTTACGAATCATTGCGAGCTAACAGGTTGGTTGAATTTCTGAATTTCTGAATTTCTGAATTTCTGAATTTCTGAATTTCTGAATTTCTGAATTTCTGAATTTCTGAATTTCTGAATTTCTAAATTTCTGAATTTCTGAATTTCTGAATTTCTAAGTTTCTGAATTTCTGAATTCCTGAATTTCTGAATTTCTGAATTTCTGAATTTCTAAGTTTCTGAATTTCTGAATTTCTGAATTTCTGAATTTCTAAGTTTCTGAATTTCTGAATTTCTGAATTTCTGAATTTCTGAATTTCTGAATTTCTAAGTTTCTGAATTTCTGAATTTCTGAATTTCTGAATTTCTAAATTTCTGAATTTCTGAATTTCTGAATTTCTGAATTTCTGAATTTCTGAATTTCTGAATTTCTAAGTTTCTGAATTTCTGAATTTCTCAGTTTCTGAATTTCTGAATTTCTGAATTTCTTGGATTTTCTAAACTACTGAATTTCTTGGATTTTCTGAATTTCTGAATTTCTGAATTTCTGAATTTCCGAATCCGGAATTCCTAAAAATCTGAAAATCTAAGTTTCCAATTTTTCAGCCGACAATGTCAAACTGGTTGCTGAGCAATCGAAAAAATACAAGTCAATCCAAGTGGATCGAATGGTGGAGGAGTTTTATAAGGTTTGCAAAAATCGATTATCGATTTTCTAAAAATCAACTTTTCAGAATTCCAACACCATCTGATTTCGCCGAATTCCTTCTACTCATTTTTCTCTCATTTATCGATTTTTTTCAACCCAGATTGCCTTTCAAAAAGTTTCCCCCTAATACTTGTGTTCTTCTTTCTTTTTCTCGAAGATTTTTAATTAATTAATTCATTAATTACTGAAAAAAAATAATTTTTCCCTCGTCTTGTGATATTTTTTAAAATTGATCTCTCATTTTTAACCCATTTCTCTCGCTAGCTACACAGTAATTTTTATAGGTAACAAAAAAATCAAAATTGAAAAATCCCGGAATTTGAAAAAAAAAATTTTATTTGAATTTTTTTTTTCAAAACTTTTAGTATCCATTATGTGTCGATAACTGATCTCTTGATGTCTTTTCCACCTCCTCCCAGCGATGATTTTTTTTCTCGAATTTTTCTCTCATTTCAATCATGCGGTACTTTTTCGTGTTTGAATTTTTCTGAAATTTCCAGAAAGTTCTGGAATTAATAAAATGTTTTAAAATCAGATTTGTTTTATTTCTTGTCAATAAAGAACTGCAACATTTTTACAGGCGATTAGAGCTATTTTGATTTTTTTTTTTTGGCGAGTTTAGGATACCGTAAACACTAATAGAATGCCACTCGATTCTTCAAATTTGAGCCCGTTTATCTCATTTTCTGTAAGAGATATCAAAAAGTGGTTAACTAATAGAATGTTTCTGATATCATGATAAATATTTTATCAGTTGACACTTTTTTGATATCTTTCAAAATAAGTGAGCTATATAGGCTCGAAGTGGACGGTCCGGGTGGCGTTCTATTAGAGTGTTTACGGTATATTAATTTTGGGGATTAAAAAATATATACAAATTCTGAAAACTGTAGATAATTTTCAAGAATCTGAAGCTTAGAAATTCAGAAATTCAGAAATTCGGGAACGAAATTCCAAAATTTTGAAATTCTGAAATTCCAGTTCTAAAACTCTGAGGTCCAAAAATGTTAAATTTTGAAGTCATGAAATTCTGACCCGGGCTCCAGTACCCAGGCTCCGGGGCTCGTGCTCCAGAACCCGGGCTCCAAATCTTGGGCTCCAAACCCGGGCTCCAGGGTCCAGGCTCCAGTACCCAGGCTCCGGGATCCGTTCTCCAGGATCCGGGCTCCACCACCCGGGCTCCAGTACCCGGGCTCCGAAACCCGGGCTCTGGTACCCGGGCTTCAGTACCCGGGCTCCAAAACCTGGGCTCCAAAACTTGGGTTCCAGAACCCGGGCTACTCCAGTACCCGGCGTCCGACATTTGAAAGTTCATAAATAATAAAATTCAAGAAGTCAGAAAATTAAAATATTTGAAATTCCTAAAAGTGTGATTCGAAAATTTGGAAACGCGAAAATTCCAGAAATCCCCAAATTCTATATCAAATCTGTAACAAATAATGGCATTTTTCAAAAAATTTTACGATTTTTTCAATTTTTTCAGCATGATCAATGTTCAGTATTCCCAAGACGATGACGGTTTTCTATGTATTTTACTGGTTTCTGGCACATTATTCTTGACAGCGTTCGCATATTTTTCAACAATTTTTATAATCAATTGGGCGAGAAGAAGGTAGAATTTGAAATGTTTTCAGAATTTTTCTCGAGAATCAAACATTTTCCAGGTATGCTGCATACATTGCTGAGCAGAGGAGACTCAACGAAAACCTGTTACGGATAAAAAATGAATAAAAAATTGAAATAAAAAAATAAATTATTTGTTCTTGGAGACTGAATTTTCAACAAGAGATTCGAGAAGAATGATCTAAAAATCTGGAAAACTGAAATTAAGAAAATCGGAGTTCAATCATTTCGGATCTTGTCAAAGATATGAAAAGTTGTCAACTGATAAAATGTTACTGATATCATGATAAGCATTTTATCAGTTGACACATTTTTTGTATCTCTCAATGGAATCGAGATAAGTGAGCGCTCCAGGATTCGGGATCCAGTACCGGGGCTCTAGCACCCGGGCTGCAGTACTCGGGCTCCAAGATCCGGGATCCAGAACCCGGGCTCCACAACCCAGGCTCCAGGACCCGGGTTCCAGAAACCCGGGCTCCAGAACTTGACTTTTTTCAGAAACTTCAATTTTTACAAACTTTATGGAAAAATTCAGTGAACTCTTACCGTATTTCCTCTAATAGAAACCCACCCACACCATCAACTTTGAGCTCAATTATCTCGGTCCATATAAGAGGTATCAAAATTGTGTCAACTGATAAAATGTTGGTGATAATATGATAAACATTTTATCAGTTGACAAATTTTTGATATCTCTTACAGGGATTGAGATAATTGAGCTCAAAATGATCGTGTAGAGTGCGCTTCATTTAGAGTGTTTACAGTAAGATTACGGTAGATTGTTGGAATATGAGACAGTTTGAGTGAGAAGTGTATTTCTCAAAGTTTTGGCATTTGCGATATATATTCAGAAATTCAGAAATTCAGAAATTCAGAAATTCAGAAATTCAGAAATTCAGAAATTCAGAAATTCAGAAATTCAGAAATTCAGAAATTCGGAAATTCAGAAATTCGGAAATTCAAAAATTCAGAAATTCAGAAATTCAGAAATTCAGAAATTCAGAAATTCAGAAATTCAGAAATTCAGAAATTCAGAAATTCAGAAATTCAGAAATTCAGAAATTCAGAAATTCAGAAATTCAGAAATTCAGAAATTCAGAAATTCAGAAATTCAGAAATTCAGAAATTCAGATTCAGAAATTCAGAAATTCAGAAATTCAGAAATTCAGAAATTCAGAAATTCAGAAATTCAGAAATTCAGAAATTCAGAAATTCAGAAATTCAGAAATTCAGAAATTCAGAAATTCAGAAATTCAGAAATTCAGAAATTCAGAAATTCAGAAATTCTGAAATTCTGAAATTCAGAAATTCAGAAATTCAGAAATTCAGAAATTTTTCCAAAATTATAGAATTTTCAGAAAACTGTAGAAATGTTCATTTTTTGCAATTTGAAAATTCCAAAAAGTTGAAAAAGCCCCAATTTTTGAATTTCCCGCCTTCGACGAAAAATCTCCTTTCACCCCCATTCAATTTCCTCCTTTTCCCCTCATTTTGGTCCACTTCCTAAATCTCCTCTTCGTCTTGTTTTGCAGCTGTCTCCTCACTTTCACTGCGTCTCTCGCTTCTTTGTGCTCTCTCACTGCTTGCCCCATCTGTCACCATGCCAATTATGGAGCAATGTGTGTCGTCGTTGGGAAACATCGGCTCCATATTTCTTTTTTTCTCTGCGTCTCTTCCTTTTTATTCTAAAAATGTGTTTCTGGAATAAAAATGAGCAATTTGGGGAAGAGAGATTTTTTAAAATTTGCCTTTTTTTCAAAATTTGTAATTCTAAAAATTTTCAGAATTTATTTTACTTTTTTGAAAATGTTGAAAATTTCGGATTTTTGAATTTTTGGACTTTCCAGAATTTTTCAACTCCCAAATTTTGTTTCTGAATTTTTTGATATTCTGAAATTTTGGAAGTTTCATGAATTTTCTTTCAGCAGTCTTGAAGTTTTTAGGATTTTCATGAATTTTGGAATTTTGGAATTTTCGGAATTATTTCATTTTTAAGACTTCTGAAGTTTTGGAAATTTTCGTTAATTTTCGTAAATTTTTAAAAGTTTCTACTTCTTCTTGTTTTCCTGATCAACTTTGGAATTTTCAGAAATTTTGAAAATCCGGACATTTGGACAAACAGATTTTTTCTACTAAAAAATGAGCGCTCGTCGATACAACTACTCTGAAATTGATGAGTTGAATAGGATTTTGACAGTAAGTTTTTTGACAAAAAAAAAGATTATTTGGAAATTTTCAGATTTTCAAAAAATTATACAAATTCCGGAGATTCTGATACCGTAAAACCTCTATTAGAAGGATCCCTTCAATAGAAGGGGCCCCGTAATAGAAGGGCCCTCCGAGAGGGGCTTGGAAAAATAGACGGGTCCCCTGTAATAGAAGAGCCCTCTGCGAAAAAGGACCCCCCTTCCGGGAACTCCACAATTTGATAGAAATTTGTTGAAACTCTATTTTTCGATAAAAATCTTGCTAATAGTAAATTTTGGTGAAATTGACAGATTTTCATGAATTTTGAACGAAACTTTGTCGAATTTTTCGATGCAACATTTCGGAAAAAAAATGGCCGGAAAAAATAGAAGGGCCTCCCTCTAATTGTAGGGCCCCCGGAGATACCTTGGAACAATAGAAGGGCTAGCCCTTCTAATACAGGTTTTACGGTATTTATAGAAAAATTCCGAAAACTCGAAACTTTAAATTTTTCAGGTTGAAAGAGAGCTGGTCCTAAAAACCCAAGAAAACTACCGTATCCTCAAGGAGAAATTTCTGGAAATTTCCAGAGAAAATGAAAATTTAAAAATCGATCGAAAGAAGCTTCTAGAAGGAGAAGAGTCTCGAGAGAAATTGCAAGAATTGGAGACAAGAAGTGACGAATTGATCAAGAAAATGAAACAATCGAATGAGGAAAGAGAAGTGGGCGAATTTCATTTTTCGATTTTCAGGCAAAAAAGTTTTCTAGGTTCGCTATGAAAAATTTAAAGTGGATACGATTGAAGAGCTTCAGAATGTGTATAGAAAAGTGAGTTTTTTCTCGAAAACTAGAAAAGCTATCAGAAAGTATTCAACTAGGGAAATGTAGAAAATTAAATTTCCCACATTTTTTTAGTTGAAAATTTTTTGATAGCTTTAACGGTTCGCGAGATATGCGCCTTTAAAGTTTAGAAGAAAGAGACACAGACAGTTAGAGTGTATCGCTGTCTGCGTCTCTTGCCTCTGAAACATCAAACAGCTGTATCTCGGCTGAAAATATTGCGAGAACTATCAAATTTCCTGTGAAATGTGTCATTTTTCATTTTTTTTAATTCCAAAAAAACAGGATCTCTAAGATCCTAAAGGTAAATTTCCAGAGATTTGAGTTTCTTATAGAATCAAAATTTTCTTAAAATTCTGTACAAAAACCAAGTTTCTACGACTCCTGAGAGCCGAAATACATAGTTTCAAAGTTTCGGATGCGAGAGACGCAGACAACGAGACACTCTAATTGTCTGCGTCTCTCCTCTACAACTTTAAAGGCGCATATCTCGCGAATCGTTAGGGTTATCAAAAAATGTCAAACTGCAAAAATGTGTGAAATTTGATTTCCTACATTATCCAATTTTCAAAAAATTTTGAGCTTTTTTAGTTTTCAAGATACTTTCAAATGTTTCCAGGAGCTCCAAGACCAAAACCAACAAATTGAGAAATTGCGAGAAGATCGTCGAGATTTGATTAAAGAAAACGACGAATTGCTGGAAAAAATAGTTGGATTGAATACGGAAATCGATGATTTTAAGAGGAAAGAAAAGGGAAAAGAAGTGGATATGAGGATGAAATTTGACCAAAAATTGAGAGAATTAGTGCTGAGCAATGACAAGCGGACGTCTCCAAGGTGAGAAATTGAAGCGGAAAATTTATAAAAATTGACTTAAAATCCTCAAAATTTGACCTAAAAATCATGAAAATTGACTTTTCGAAAATCTGAAACTCATAAATTTGTCAGATTCGAGCACATGGAGCAACTGATTGAAAATTTGCATTTGGAAATTCAGAGAAAAGAAGAGATAATTTTGGAAAAAAATCGAGAATATTCCACAGAGATTTCCGAGAAAAATCTGGAAATCGAGGAATTAAAACGATCGGAAAATTCGCTGAAATTTCAAATTCAACATTTGGATTCGACGATTTTGAAGTGAGTTTTTTTTGTCTGGAATTTCAGCAATTCAAATTTTTATATTTTCAAAAATTCCCACAATTTTCAGCCTCAACCATCAAATCCAAAAAATCAATTCCGAATCCGATCAAACTTCCGAAATCAATATTTTGAAGCTGAAAAACGATCAATTCATGAAAGAAAATCTGGAATTGGAACTGAAATTTCGGCACGATGAGCGAGAATTTTCCAGGAAATTGGGACAATTGGAGCTACAATTTTCAGTTCGAATTTCAGAATTTGAGAAGCTCTGTGAGCAAAAGGACATGGAAATTGAAGGTGAGCCTAGCTCAAAAACTAGATGATCTAGGAAAAATTGACTAATTACAAAAATCTAGGAAATGAAATTGTACACATTTTTCTAATTGAAAATTTTTTGATAGCTCTCACGGTTCGGAAGATATGCGCCTTTAAAGTTTGAGAAGAGACGCAGACAGTTAGAGTGTCTCGTTGTCTGCGTCTCTAGTCTTCAAGACTTCAAACGGCTGTATCTCGACTCTCCGAAGCCATGGACACTTGGTTTTTGTTCGGAATATAACTGTTTTTAAGGGGAGAGAAGCAGACAACGAGACACTCTAAATGTCTGCGTCTCTCTTCTCAAACTTTGACAGTGCATATCTTGCGAACCGTTAGAGCTATCAAAAAAGTGAAAACTGGAAAAATGTGCAAAATAAGCAAAAAATTTGATTTTCTCGTTTTTTGTAGTTTGAATTAGAGTCTAGAATCCCAATTTTTTCCAATTTCAGATTTGAAATCACATCTGGAAACTTCTGAAAAAGTTCAAGAATCTCTGAAAATGTATGAAAGAAATCTTCAAATCGAGGAAGAACACAGAGAACGTCTAGAGATGGAAGTCAAAAGTTTGTATGAAAAATTACAAAAATCTGGAGAAGAGAAAGAGGAATTTGAGAAAAATTTAAAGTTGGAAAGAGACAAGTTGGAGATTTCGCTGGTTTCTATGAAGTGAGTTTTTTTGAAATGTTAAAATTTTTAAACAATTTTGGTTTTGGAATTTTGAATTTCTGAACTAATGACTTTTGGAATTTCGGAAATTTTGAATATCCGAATTTCTGTATTTCTGAATTTCTGAATTTCTGAATTTCTGATTTTCTGAATTTCTGAATTTCTGCTTTTCTGAATTTCTGAATTTCTAAATTTCTGAATTTCTGAATTTCCGAATTTCTGAATTTCCGAATTTCTGAATTTCTGAATTTCTGAATTTCCGAATTTCCGAATTTCCGAATTTCTGAATTTCCGAATTTCTGAATTTCTGCATTTCTGAATTTCTGAATTTTTCAATAAAAAACTTCCAGAAAAAAGCTGGAAATGACTCCAGAAGCCCCGGAAAATGTGGAAAAATTGAGAAAGGAGCTGCGAGAATCGGTAAGTTTTTTCGTAGGTGTAAATCGGGGTTTTTCAGATTTTTTAAAATCTCAAAACGTTCAAACTCCTAAAAATAGATATCTGAAAATCCAAAAATTTGAAATACCGTAAACACTTTAATAGAACGCCACAGGAAGCGTCCACTTTGAGCCTATATTTCTCCCTTCTTTTGACAGATATCAAAAGGTCGTCAATTGCTAAAATGTTTATCATAATATCAGCAACATTCTATCAGTTTATCACTTTTTGAACGAAACTTCATCGAATTTTTCAATGCAAATTTTCGGAAAGAAACTGGCCCGAAAAATAGAAGTGCTAACTCTAATTAAAGGGCCCCCCCTGTAAAAGAAGGGCCCTTCTACTACAGGTTTTACGGTATTTTCTGTCCAAAACAAATTATATATTCTTGATCTCTCTTTTACTTTGTCCCCAAATTGATTTGTCCATTTTTTTTCCATTTTTCAACGAACTTTTGAAACTTTTTACTTTTCAAAAAATGAAGTTTTTCCCTGCCGCCAATTTCTAAAAATTTAAGACTTATTTTAAAATTTCAGAACTCAGAATAACCGCTATACACAAATTACCGTAAAACCTCTAATAGACATCCTGACCGTCTACTTTGAGCATATATACTTCACTTCTTTTGAAAGATATCAAAAAGATGTCAACTGATAAAATGTTCATCATAATATCAGCAACATTCTATCAGTTTATCACTTTTTGATATCTCTCACAGAAAATGAGATACAGGGGCTCAAACTTAACGGTTTGGGTGGTGTTCTATTAGAGTGTTTACGGTATGTATCTATTTCAGGAACGACGACGACAATCGGAAAAAGAAAAATACCAAAAAATAATATTGGAGCTCAAAGATGCGCTGAAAAGGTTGGAGAAGAATTATCGAGAGGCTGTAGGACGATTGCAGGAGACAATTCCACATTTTTGAATTTTTAGAAAATACGCTCTATTGAGAATTTTGTTTTTTTGAAGATTTTGGAAAATTCGACTGGTTTTGAATATTTTCATGTGATTTTTTTCTCCTAATAAAATGCTATAACTATTCAAAAGTTTGATTCTGAGAACTTTTTCGAATTTGAGCTTTTTAATATTTAAAAAATGGATTTATGAGTTTTTGAAAGTTTCAAAAATCATGATCTCTTATATACCGTAAAACCTGTATTAGAAGGGCCCCTTTAATAGAAGGGCCCTCTAAGAAGGGTTGAAAAAATAGAGAGCCTGCCTTTCTAATACAGGTTTTAGGGTATTCTTATTTTTCACAATTTCAGATTTTTTTTCTGAATTTCTGAATTTCTGAATTTCCGAATTTCTGAATTTTTGAATTTCTGAATTTCTGAATTTCTGAATTTCTGAATTTCTGAATTTCTGAATTTCTGAATTTCCGAATTTCTGAATTTCTGAATTTCTGAATTTTTGAATTTCTGAATTTCTGAATTTCTGAATTTCTGAATTTCTGAATTTCTGAATTTCTGAATTTTCTGAATTTCTGAATTTTTTAATTTCTGAACTTCTGAATTTCTGAATTTCTGAATTTCTGAATTTCCGAATTTCTGAATTTCTGAATTTCTGAATTTCTGAATTTCTGAATTTCTGAATTTCTGAATTTCTGAATTTCTGAATTTCTGAATTTCTGAATTTCTGAATTTCTGAATTTCTGAATTTCTGAATTTCTGAATTTCTGAATTTCTGAATTTCTGAATTTTCTGAATTTCTGAATTTTCTGAATTTCTGAATTTTTTAATTTCTGAATTTCTGAATTTCTGAATTTCTGAATTTCTGAATTTCCAAATTTCTGAATTTCTGAATTTCTGAATTTCTGAATTTCTGAATTTTTGAATTTCTGAATTTCCGAATTTCTGATTTTCTGAATTTCTGAATTTTTGAATTTCTGAATTTCTGAATTTCTGAATTTCTGAATTTCCGGACTTCTGAATTTCTGGACTTCTGAAAGTTTGAATTCTGGACTTCTGAAAGTTTGAATTCTCCAAAACTTTCAAAATTCACATAATTATCAATTTTTGAAAATCAAAATATTAATTTTTTATTAATGACCAAAGAAAAAGAAGTTCTAGAATACAAACAAATTAGAAGAACAAAATATTGGGGGACAAAAAAAGTGGGCGGAGCCAAGAAAATTAGTACAGATTATTTTTTGGAAAGGAAAAGAAGGGGGACATTTTTTATCACAATAGAAAGAAGAACAGAACGTATATTACCGCATTTTTGTTGAATTTTTGAAATATGCTACCTGTGATTTTAGGGATTTTTTTTCAAGAAAAAAATTAGTGCAATTAAGGGTAATTAGTCTACAATCGGAATCTAGAATTTGGGGATAAAAACGGCAATGCCTAGAAAAAAAGGGGAAAAAATAGGTGGAATGGCAATTTTGGGGGAAAAATTTCAGAAAAAATATTTTTGGAAAAAACCTGATATATACAAAATTAGATGATTTTTTTAATGAGAAGTGAAGAGAAGTTTTTAGACGTCTCTGAAAAAAATAATTATTAATTTTTGAAATTTTGAAAAACAAAGATTTTTTGGTAGTTTTGAATTTTTGCCTTTAATTTTTGGATTTTCAGAATTTCCAGAAAATTTCAAAATTTCAAAAACTCACGATGTCTCCAAATTGTTATCCAAAATGAATTTCATAAAATCCTGACATTTTGAATTCGATTTTTCCGATTTCTTCTCCGACGGCAAATTTGGAGATGGCGTTTTGCTGGGTGGTGGGAGTTCTGGAGCCGGTGGAGGTAGCTCGGTCGATTGTTGATCTTCTTCGTCTTTCTGAAAAAAAAATAGTTGGACATCGGGATATACATTCAGACAAATGGCTTACCTCGTGGACCACAGCTGGAGGGCCTTCCAGATGAATTGATAACGTCGCTTGGGGCTCAACGGCTGGCGAATCGTTGATCGAGATGGTCGAGATGTGAGAGAGTTTTGTCTGAAAAATAATTTTCAATATTTGCTGAAAATTCAGGGAACAGCTTCACTGGGAACCGAGATACAGTTATTTGCGATTTCGGAGAGACGCAAACAGTTAGAGTGTCTCGTTGTCTGCGTCTCTCGCCTTCAAATGAAATTGAGCCAATTCATTAACTGATATTGGGTCTATATTATGTCGAAATGACAGACTTCTAGAAATACTAGGAGCTGAGATACAGTGTCTTGTAGTTGGTAGGAGAGACGCAGACAGTTAGAGTGTCTCGTTGTCTGCGTCTCTCCAAAACTTCGAAACGCTGTGAACTGGCGGAAAATGACGCTAGAACTATTAAAATTTCTGAGAATTGTATCATTCTTAACTACAAACAATACTACCAGAAAAACCTTTCAAATTTAAAAAAGCAAAAATCTCGCTTTTCAAAAAATATTTCAGTTTCTTGTAGAGTGGAGAATTTCCTTCAATTTTGTACAAAATCAACTTTCTACGCTTTCTAGGAGCCGAGATACACTCATTTGAAGTTTCGAAGAGACGCAGACTACGAGGTGACACTCTGCGTCTCTAACCTCCTGAATGTCAAACGATATTATCTCAGGCTCTAGATGCGCTAGAAAACTGATTTTTGGTGAAAATTGTTTGAAATTTCAGAATCTATAAGAATCAGAAAGAATCAGGACTCTAGCTAATCTGGATCCCGAGATGTAGTGTTTTAAAATTGAGGAGGTTAGAGACGCAGACTGTCTCGTTGTCTGCGTCTCTTCCTCAAAATCTTTAGAGAGCTTTATCTCGGGATCAAGATGAGCTGAAAGATCGGTTTTCGGGGCAAATTTCATCCTGTTTTTTCGGCTCCTAAAACTTCTGAAGATAGGATTTCGGAACAAAACTTACCGCCAACGCCTCCATATTCGGATCATTATTATTGTTATTATTCGACGACGCCGTTGAAATCCCACTCGTCGAGCTTCCAAAACTATCTATCGATCCTTGGGTGACAGCAGTCGCCGAGATTCTTCTAGAACTTTCTAACCGCTTCCGACTGGATCCTCCGACAGCTGATCCGACGTTCCACGAGAATCTTTTGAGAATCGCACCGGATAGCATTGATCCTTTGGGTTTAAGAACATCGATCCCGTCTGCCGTATGGTATCGTTTCTCGAAACGCCTTCCAGATTGACAAGGTTCCACACAGTCATCAGAAGTGATCAAAAGTGTTGGGGAGTCGCGACATGGTGTTGTTGTCTGTGGGGATTCACATTCTGCTGGGGTCCCAATATGTGCTGGTGAGTTGCTTCTGGATCTCTGCTTCAATCCTTCGATATCTGGTCCACTGGAATTTGATCGACTTCTTGGCCGCTCGATGTCTCCATTCTCGGCGCCAAGAGAGACGTATAAATCCACTGAACTTTTACTGGAAGACAGGGGATTTGCATGACAGCTGGCAACGCTTAGCTTATGACGAGGTGGTGTACACTTCATGGAGTCTAGTCCGTTCGGATGACGATCAAGTTGCTCGGTGGAGGAGACTGCGGAGCTTCGGTGCATATCTGGAAGAGAGTTTCGAGGTTAGAAAAAGTTGGAAATTGGTTTGGAAAGGGTTCCAAATCTTAGGGATTTTTGATAACGACGAGCTGAGATATAGATCTTTGAAGTTTCCGTTTTTTTTTGAAATTTTAGGGGTTCAGAGAAACTTCTGAATGTCTGAATTTCTGATTTTTTAATTTCTGAATTTCTGAATTTCTGAATTTCTGAATGTCTGAATTTCTGATTTTTTAATTTCTGAATTTCTGAATTTCTGAATTTCTGATTTTTTAATTTCTGAATTTCTGAATTTCTGAATTTCTGAATGTCTGAATTTCTGATTTTTTAATTTCTGAATTTCTGAATTTCTGAATTTCTGAATTTCTGAATTTCTGAATTTCTGAATTTCTGAATTTCTGAATTTCTGAATTTCTGAATTTCTGAATTTCTGAATTTCTGAATTTCTGAATTTCTGAATTTCTGAATTTCTGAATTTCTGAATTTCTGAATTTCTGAATTTCTGAATTTCTGAATTTCTGAATTTCTGAATTTCTGAATTTCTGAATTTCTGAATTTCTGAATTTCTGAATTTCTGAATTTCTGAATTTCTGAATTTCTGAATTTCTGAATTTCTGAATTTCTGAATTTCTGAATTTCTGAATTTCTGAATTTCTGAATTTCTGAATTTCTGAATTTCTGAATTTC